ATCTGGCCTCGGCCCCTGCCGCTGCCCCCGCCAGCCCTGGCGGTCGCGCCAAGTCTGGCGCTCCGGCAAGGGCCTCGCCATCGAGTGTCGGAGGAGGTAACCCAGACATCGGGCGTTCCGATCTTGGACCTGTTTTTTCATCGTGTGCCGTTTTTCTCTGACGGTCCCCATGCCCGGTACGGGCCCCGAGAAGCTCAGAACAATGAACAGCCTCCGTGCCGATTCTTTCGAGACGCCAGGGTCTCTGGAAACATCTCCTCTGTGGCGGAAGCCAGGCGGGCAGAAAGCGATGGCTGGTCCGCCGGCGGCAGGCTGGCAGGAGCTGGCGGAAGCAAAGAGCTTGTTTCTTCATTGCTTCGGCCGTAACGCGCGTTATGGCCCCCCGCCCCCCCCCCCCATCACGCAACGCTCGGGCTCCCAGTGCAACTCCGGCACTGCTGCCGTGCGCATAGGGATTCGCATAGGAACCCGAATAAGAATCCGCATAGGTATCCGCACAGAAATCCGCATAGGGATCCGCATGGGGATCGCATAGAGATGTCCATCGGGATCCGCATTGGGATTCCCAGGGAGCCTTATTGAGATCCGCATAGGGATCTGCATCGGGATCCGCATAGGGATCCGCGTGGTGATACGCATAGGGATCCCCAGAGGCAATCGCATAGGGGTCCGCATAGGGATGCGCATAGGGATCCACGGAGGGGTCCTCATAGGGATCCGCACAGAGATCCGCATAGAGGCGGTGGTCGCGGGCAAGTTGCGGTGCTCTCAGACACTCGTGGTGTTCGTAGGAGAGAGAGCAATAGGAGGAGAAGGACGACGACGACGACGACAAGGAGGAGGAGGGAGGAGGGAGGAGGGAGGAGGGAGGTAAGGAGCATACCTCTTGTACGCCAGGTGGAGGCAACGACGCCTTCGCAGGCATGTCTCTCCACATCTTCTTGTCGCTCTTCGTTGTCGATCGTCGTCGTCGTTGTCGATCGTCGTCGTCGTCGTGAGGAGGAGGAGGAAGAGGAGGAGGAGGAGGAGGAGGAGGGCGAGGACGGGGAGGACGAGAAGGAGAGATGGAGAAGAAGGAGCGAGAGTTGGGTACCTCGGGGATCCCTCTGAGGCCTCGTAAGGGGTCTCTGGGGAGCCTCTTGGTGGCCTCTTGGGGCCGTCTGGGCGCCTCTTGGGGCCCCCCTGGCGCTGCTAGGCGTGGCCCCCGGACGCAGTGTCTGGCCTGCCGCGTTGGGCCGCCCGCCCAGCGGCGTTCCCGTCCACTTCTGCATGTTTCCCGGCAGTTGGGACTATGGCATCCTGCTGCTTTTCACCTAGGGGAGCTGCAGGGGCGCCCTTGGGGCCATCGTGGAGGACATCGATCAAACCAGAGGGGAGCTTCAAGAAGGGCCCCTCCTCGGAAGCCCCAGAAGTCGCCTCATGGGGCGCTCCTGGGGCTCTCTTGGGGCGCCCCTGGGCGCTCTTGGAGCCGTCTTGGGGCTCTCTTGGGTCTCTCACGGGGTCCTCTTGGGCCATCTTGGAGCCATCTTGAGGCATCGGATGGCCTTCGGAAGCGAAAAGGCGAGAACGCAACAAACATAGATTTGTCCTAGGTTTTGGCCGGATTGTGGCTTCTTGGAGGCCTCTGTGGAGGTCTCGGAGGCCTCTTGGAGCCGTCTTGGAGCGTTCTTGGGGCCTCTTGGAGCATCTTGGGAGCCGACTTGAGGCATCTTGGGCTATTGTGAGCCATCTTGGAGGTCATCTTGGGCTCCCTGTGGCCCTCTTGAAGCAATCTTGGGCGAAACAATACCCTATGACACCTCACAGGGTGCCACGTCCAGGTCCAGGGGGGCTGTAGGGGGAGGGGTCAACCTTGCCCCGAAGGGGAAGAAGGGAGTTGGAAGAGGAAACTCCCTCGACCACCTACGCCCAGAGGTCTGGTGGATTACGGAGGAAGGGAGAAGTGAGGAGTCTCGGGAGGGAGGAGGAAGGGGGAAGGAGGAGGGAACAGCAGGATGATGAGGAGGTCGAGGCGGGTGAGGTGGGGATGGCGGGGGGGGTGTTGTCTCTGGACCCCCTCCCAGAGCGGCTTGCCGCTGGCGTGCGGCGCAGTGGACACGGCAACGCGAGCGCTGGCGTGGGCGGAGTAGTAGGGGGCGGATGAGGGAGTAGAGATGCATCTTTCTCGTCCTCCAAGTCATCTGTCCCTCAAACATCATCCCCCTCCCCCCTCTCCTTCCTTTCCTCCCCCGCCCGCTTCCTCAAAAAGCGGGCCGCAGACCTGCCCCGCAGCGCGTGCGGCCGAGGATTCGCGGGCGGCTCCCGCCGTGGCGCGGGGGGGGGGCAGTGGGGCCCAGTTTGAAACATATCCCTATCCCTATGTTTGATATCATCTCACCTCGATGCCGAACCTGAGGATTCCCTCAGTTTCTGAGGGGGCCTGTCCCTAAGATTGTCCTCGCTTTTTGCTCGCTCGCCCATCTTAGGGATAGGGATACGTTCAAGGCTGGTTACAGTGGGG